AAAAGAGGAAAAAAATTCCCGTGACACGGGATCCTTGTCCCGTCTGGCGGGAAGCCTTGACCGTGTCACGGGGACTTGCTGACGTGGCACGGCAAAACTGCATTTGGTCAGGGAATATTCTTGGTTTTTTGACCAGTTTGACTGATTTTCCGAGCTTATTGGGAGATTATTTTTTGCTACAGTTACGCGGAAAATTCCAACTGATGTTTAAGGGGGACTAAAATTACCATTTTACCCCTGACAAGCGTCAAAGCCTATTTTTCGGCATTTTAAGCATTTAATATGGTCGGATAATCGGCTTAAAATTGTGAATCATCTGCGACCCACGTTCGGGGATAATCGAACCACCATACACTTATCAATTTTCAGCAATCGTCGGCTTTCCTCAGGCTTGGAAAGCGTTATCGGTGGATTTTTCTTCAAGTATAGAAAACCGCCAAGTCGGCTTTCTTCAGGCTTGGAAAGCGTTATCGGTGGATTTTTCTTCAAGTATAGAAAACCGCCAAGTCGGCTTTCCTCAGGCTTGGAAAGCGTTATCGGTGGATTTTTCTTCAAGTATAGAAAACCGCCAAGTCGGCTTTCCTCAGGCATGGAAAGCATCATCAGTGGATTTTTCTTCAAGTATAGAAAACCACAAAATTCCTTTGTCGGCTTTCCTCAAGTATGGAAGGCATTAGCGGTGGATTTCTTCAAGCATAGAATGACACCAAATTCGTCCGTCGACTTTCCTCAGGCATGGAAAGTATTATCCGGTAGCTTTCTTCAGGCTTAGAAAGATTCTTCAGTCGGCTTTCCTCAAGCATGGGAAGCATTTCAACAAATGTCACTCGGTGGATTCCTTCAAGCTTAGGAAGCTGCCAAATTCGTTTGTCACCGACACACTGGTGCCAGATACGTATTCTATCCCGTTACTCTTCTATTTTTGGAATTAACATTTTTCTACAGGTATCGGCGTATACAGAATGATTTAGGATCGCAGAACATCTTAAATCATTCTCTGTCCCTATCGACTACTTTGACTATCGTTTTCGAAACTAACGTTTCTACAAACTCAGTCAAAGTGGGGGCTACTGTAGACACCTAAAAATGTCTCCCCAAAACCAAACCCGATGATAAATAACCTTTCACCGCCTCTATTGGTCGGGTTTAGTATTTAATCCCGAGAGTGCTTAAAAAATCGTATTTTATTAAATTCATACCTTTGAAAGGTCCATGGATTAGTCTTGATGTTTGGTAAAATCATAGTTTTAATTTTAGCCCAAGCTTATTAATTAATTTTAAGCCCAAACCTTTTTATTTTATTATTTTATTATTTATTTTTGGCCCAAACATTTTATTTATTTTTATTTCATTATTTTCTTATTTTAGCCCGAATAATAAAAGTCAGGAAAAAGCCCGAAATTATCAATCGGCACTTAAAAAGCCGAAAAAAATTAGGGTTAAAAATGAATTTAGACAGAAAAATGGACTGGAACTGACGAAAATAGAGGTGGTAATTATTATGGTTAGTGGTGATGGACGAAGGATGAAGGACGAGGTGGTAATGGAGGTTAGGATGAAGGTTATGTTAATGGAGGAAGGAGGAAGAGAGAGAAATGAGTGGTCATGGAGGAAAAAAATAAATTAAATTACGTAATCTTCAAGTAATCGGTCACTTAGGCTCGATATGGGAGAATATATATCAAAGGTGGGATTATTCAGGGTTAATCCAAATGTAAGATTATTTTGGGAGAACCAGCAAAAGGTTGGATTATTCTTGTAAAATTTTCCTTATCTAAACCATTTTTTTTTTAGTAATCTAAACTACTATCGATATACAATTAAAAAGTAGCAATTAGTGATATGCTTAGTAAAATCGCTACTACTAAGGTTTCGTTACTTCACCTTATTTTTGCTGAACTGAAATTATTTTTAGGAAAAGTTGGATTTTGGTACCTCGAAAATGGGGGTAATTGAATTTTAGTACCCATCTAAAATTTTATTTTAAATTGGTACCTCAAAAATGACTAAACTATAGATATCAGTACCCCCGTTAGCATTCTGTCAACTTTGTCGTTAGTGGGTCCCATTATCTAATTATTTAATAATTTAATTTATTAAAAAAAACATTTAATAAAAAAAACTTAAAAAAATCAGCCACCAACCTTCCCCGCGCCGACGCCACCCCCCCCCCCCCACCAGCCCTGTCTCCCCGCGACGACGCCACCCGTGGTGTTGGTTGGTGGTTTGTGAGTTTCGGGGTTGTGGGCGGTGGATCTAAGTTCGTGGGTTGTGTGTTTCGGGGTTGTGGGTGGTGGGTTTCGTGGTTGTGGGTCTGGGTTCGTGGGAATTGGGTTTCGAGGTGGGTGGTGGTGGGTTGTAGTGGGTTCGACGGTTGTGGGTCTGGGTTCGTGGTGGCGAGTTTTGGGGTTGTTGGCTGGGTTCTTAGGTTATGGGTTTTGGGTTTTGGGGAGGGTGGTGGTGGGTTGTAGTTCGTGGGTTGTCGGTTTCGGGTGCGCTGGGTTGGTGGGTTGTGGGTCTGGGTTTTTGGTGGTGGGTTTCGGGGTGGGTGGTGGTACGTGGGTTTCGGGGTTGTGGGTCTGGGTTCGCAGGTGGTAGTGGTGCTGGGCTCGTTGGTGGTGCGCTGGGTGGTGGTGTGTTGGTTGGTACTGGGCCCCGTTCGTGGTGTTGGGCTCGTTGGTGGTGCGCTGGGTGGTGGTGTGTTGGGTGGTGCTGGGCTCCGTTCGTGGTGCCGGGCTCGTTGGTAGTGCGCTGAGTGGTGGTGTGTTGGGTGGCGTCGTCGCGGGGAGGTAGGGATGGTGGGGGGGTGGCGTCGGCGCGGGGAAGGTGGGTGGCTGGTGGTATTAGGGGTTTTTCTGATTTTTTTATTTTTTATTTTTTAAGTTTTTTTTTATGGAAAAATTAGAAAAAATAATCCCAACTTTCTTCAATTTTCGTAGAAAAATCCCAACTTTCATTTATTCTGGAATAATCCAAACTTTGGGGGGTCTTCTTCTTCTTCAATCCCAAACACCGGTTACCGGTTGAATGGGTTTCCTGGTTTTTTTTTAATTTAAAGTGACACGTGTCACGCGTTAATTGGTTAAAAAATATAAAAACAAAAAAATTAAAAAAAAAACAAAATAAAAAAAATCAGCAAACCAAATCCGACCACCCTGCGCTGGTGATTCGAGCCATCTCCGGCGGCTGTTGCTACTCCCCTCCCCTACCCAAACCCCGACGCTGGTTTCCCCCCTCCCTTGCGCCAGTTTCCCCCTCCCCCAACGCTGGTGATGCGACCCAATCTCCTCCTCTCCATTTCCGTCGCCACCACCAATCGCAACTCCTTTTCCAGCCACCACAAGCACTCGAAACTTCCTTTAAATGTCTCCCCAACTCCCGAAAAACCTCTAAACACCCTTCCCCCACCATCGAAAATCCTAGCCGCTAGGGTTTTCGACGGTGAGGAAGTGGTTGTTGGGGGTTTTCGGGAGGGGTTTCGAATCGAAAAGGAGGAGATTGGGGGTGGAGGTGGGTCGAAATGTCGGCACAGAGGGTTTGGGGGGAAAGGGGTGCACATTTTGGGCAGGGGAAGGGAGGGATTGGCGCGGCTGGCGGTGGCAGTTGGTGGTGGTGGTGGTGGGGGTTAAGGTGGCAGGCAGGGTATTAAGGGTTTTTTGGTTTTTTTTTTAATTTTTTTTAAATTAAATTATTTGTTTTTGGACCAATTGCAGTTTGACACGTGGCACATAACCTATTACAACAGGTCATTGACTTTCGTTGACCGGTTTGGGATTGAAGAAAAAGAAGACCCCCCAAAGTTCGGATTATTCCAGAATAAATGAAAGTTGGAATTATTCTACGAAAATTGATGAAAGTTGGGATTATTTTTTCTAATGTTTCCTTTTTTTATTAAATGTTTTTTCTTTTTTTTTTTAATAAATTAAATTATTAAATAATTAGATAATAGGACCCACTAACGGCAAAGTTGATAGAATGCTAACGGAGGTACTGATATCTATAGTTTAGTCATTTTTGAGGTACTAATTTAAAATAAAATTTTAGATGGGTACTAAAATTCAATTACCCCCATTTTCGAGGTACCAAAATCCAAATTTTCCTAAAAATAATTTCAGTTCAGCAAAAATAAGATGAAGTGAACGAAACCTTAGTAGTAGCGATTTTACTAAGCATATCACTAATTGCTACTTTTTAATTGTATATCGATAGTAGTTTAGATTACTCGAAAAAAAAATGGTTTAGATAAGGAAAATTTTACAAGAATAATCCAACCTTTCGCTGGTTCTCCCAAAATAATCTTACATTTGGTTAACCCTGAATAATCCCACCTTTGATATATATTCTCCCATATCGAGCCTAAGTGACCGATTACTTGAAGATTAGGTAATTTAATTTATTTTTTTCCCTCCATGACCACTCATTTCTCTCTCTTCCTCCTTCCTCCATTAACATAACCTTCATCCTAACCTCCATTACCACCTCGTCCTTCATCCTTCGTCCATCACCACTAACCATAATAATTACCACCTCTATTTTCGTCCCAACAACCAGTCAATCACCTCCATCTTTTCTCCATTTTACAAACCACAATCACCACCACGAAGGGAGAGAGAAGGAAAACGGGGAAAGAGAGGTTTTGAAAGTAGAGGCAGGAGAGGGTGGTTTCCATGGGTTTTGTGTGGTGGTGGGGGTTTGTGGGTTGGTTGATGGTGCGTGGAGGTTTGTGGGCTGGTTGATTTAATTGGGACAGTAGGGGTTTCTGGTTGATTTTAGATACAAAATCGTTAATTAGTTGGATATAATCAAAATAATCTAAGGCTTTGATTGTAAGCATTTTTCATGGAATTCATTTTTCAAAGAAAACAATATTCAATGGAAAACACGATTTTGAAAAGGAATTTCCTATGTTTATTTGATTATAGAAAAAATAATAGAGAAATAGAAATCTGAAATTAAAAGGAAAGGGAAGATTAGAGGAGAGAAAACAGAGAAGTGAGGAGTAAGAGGAAAAGAGCTTTGCATCAATATTTTGTTCAGTGTTTTCTTGTAAAAATAGACTAGATAAATGTGTTACAACAAGATCCAGTAACATCATTTCAGGCCACACAGACAACATATTTGTATGATGGACTAATATTTGTAAAGAATAGCTATCGTATGAAAGTACTAAACGTGTGAACAGATTGCAGCATGACTCTGATAACTGGCAAGGACAATAAGGATAAATCTTGTCCTGTGTGAGAGCTTCAGTTATGCGGAGTAGTATGATATCTGATGGATGATAAATTGCAGGACTTGGCTGATGAATTTGGATGCTAGAGGGGTCAGTCCCAGCACTTCAGTGATAACCCAACTGCATCTGGCAGAGCCTTCCATATCAAATTGCAATTGACTTATATGCTCCAGCATTTCCTAGCCCTGTTCAATGACAGAAGAAGCTTTTTAGCAGATATCCAAAGCCACATCGCAATAAACTAAAAACTAAGTAACGGTATCAATGTCATGCTGTACATAGAACCCAACACGGAACGACACCATAAGTTAAAACCATTAAATTGATTGAAATAAAGATCATCAACAACCAGATCTTCCAATTTCAAAAACTACTGTTCAAAATTTCAAATGCCTTATATCTGTCTAGACAAAAAAATGAGATGCTACTTCAGTGATCTAACATAGCAGATGACTATAGAAATCATGGAGATACATATCTACTATAAGCTGATTATGATGAATACTAAAACAAAGATCCAACTTCTGCGTTCCACTGTAATTACTTGGCCTGCAGTACATGCAAACATCAAGGACTAAGTTGTCAGTAATGAAGTCTAGAAGAAGATTTTTGGTATTCAAAACACTCTGATGTTAGCATGGAGCTTGGAACAACTGCATGTCTGCACATGCATGATACAACCGAGTTTATTGATATCAAACTTTGTTTGAGGAAGTGAGTTGGCAAATGCAAAAACATATGAATGAATCAACTAACAGAAATTCAGAATGAGGAAATCTTAACATTGTCTGTCAATCTAAGATGCTAACCTAGCATTAAATTGAAGAACTGTTAATGATTGGTTACGAGCTCACGAGTCATGAGTCTCATGACTATGTTTTGTTCCTTCACATCCACTTCACAGCTATACACCATCAGTTTTACTAGTAGGCAAAAAGATTAAACTCTTGTCAAAATATATACTTGTCTAAATTATGTTAATATTTGATTGGTACACAGATTCAACTTACAACTGGTGGGAAGGGGGGAGGGGATTAACCTGTCACATATAGATCAACCCAAAACATGTACACAAAATAAGCTCAGCAATAATAGCAACACAGCTACAGAAATAGAGCTGCTTGCTTTACTTGGCAATCAGCTCTCTGTGTCCTACTGAATAGCTAGCCAAAACAATTAGATTATTCAATTCAGTAAGTAAGATATACCATGCATCAGCATAAAATAAATGAGCAAAAGATTAAAGAAAAGCACTCACAAATACAAGTAAAAAGAAGCCCTTTACTCAAACGAGAACATTTTTTAGGGGAAAAAATTGAACAGAGAAATAGATACATTGTTGGTTCATACAACATTCAAGGGAATATAATCAAAGAGGTACAGTATTTTCCATAAGAATCAGTTGAAAAAACCCAGAAGACTGAGTATATTAGCCATCCTACCCTCACCCCTTTCCATATTCTTCTTTTTCATCTTTCCTTTCTTTCTAATTTAATTCAAAATTTTCAATAGTTTTATTCCTCCTCAGATTACAGAGGACTAAAGGAGCCTTGTTCATTAGATAACTGATTTTTATTTTACAGTGCAATTCAGACCACCAATAAATCAATAATAGGCCAATGTTCCAGAAATATGGACTGATTTGCTTAAAGTCTGTAATTTAAAAAATATCATTCAAAAGATTAATAATGAAATAAAGGGAGATCTATTTGAAAGTTATTATCATGAAGGGAAAATAAACAATCCTCAAGAGTCAAAGGTCAGGGTACCACATTTTTAAGTTCAATATTGATTAACAAAGATAGATGATAAGCATTTACAGCTAATATGGGGTAGGAAAGAAGTGGAGTAAAATGCAAAACACAAAGTCGTACCTACCATGTCTTTTTTGTATGCGGCCCCTGCCAAAATTGAGGTAAGTTTATGAACCATATTGTGCTATCTTACCCCCAGCAGAGGCAGTTTCTACATAATCTTAAATTAAAAGGCATCAAACTAAGCTACTTAACAAGCAATTGTAGTTTAATGAGAGAGTTCAGTTGTCCACATGCCAATACATAATATACAACAATATATATGAAGAGCTTACCTGAAGAATCATAAGTTGGCAAGCTGACATACTTTAAACATGAGTGTTTTGAATAATCCACCTTTTGTTTAATTCTAATGTCAGTTGCACAATCTCGAGGCTGTATGTCATCAAAAGTTCAAAACCTTGTAGTTAGATCAGGATGAAAGAGATTAATACAGAGATTTAAAGAAAAAACTAGAGAAGGCAGAAAATTATTGGAAACGTCAATAAAATAGGCACTTTAGTATAATTTCTCTACCAATCTTCTAAGAACTATAGCAATATTGTTTCCTTCTCCACAGTATAAAAGGGAAAATAAAATTTTAGAATCAAAAGCCCAGGAAAATTGTGCATGAACACAACTTTTCACATGAAGCAGATCGATATGAGACAGCTAAAGAGGTTGAAAGTAGGAACACAATAATCAGAACTAACCTTGAAATCCTTATAGGCATTTGAATTGGCACTGGCAGAAGCTAAATCCTGCAGCTCCAAAATGTACGTTATTACTATCAGAGGCATTTGAATTGGCACTGGCAGAAGCTGGCCCACACGGTACAATTGCTTCAAGAGATCAGAGTCCCCCAAATCATCAGCAAAGCCACCAGAAACAAAAGCACACCATATTCCATCCTGTAGTCTCCTTTCAGCTTCCATGGACGCAGCTTGAACAGGGCTTAATGCAGACATTTTATTATTATCACCACCAAGCCGTAAAGGTCCAGATGGTAGAAGGGAATTGAAATGTTTTCTGTTTTCAGCAGCAGCAAGGGTTCTTTTGTGGAGGGAAGCTAGAGGTTGCTGACGAGAAAACCCATTTAAACATTTTCCAGAAAAATCAAAGCCTTCTCCTGTGCCAGATATTCCCTTGGACATCGATTCCTCACATTCCTGCGTTTGATGGAGAAAACGTAAATGACAACGAAAAGAAACTACACAACCTGCTTATGTAATGGCTTATATTACAGCTTTGGGTAAACTATGTAAAACTATTCTGCACAAAATACACAGATGAAAATTGTATTGAACGTTTGAAGGGTTCCCAAGTAACAACTTGTTATGGACTGCCTTGGTATTTTCTGATTTAAAGACTAATTAAGAGATAAAAGCTTGATACTTTGATTAGTAATGGCTGAAAATTGGATACAAAAGGATAGATTAATAGCTTAAGGCTATCACTCTCTTGATAACTTTAGGTTATCACTCTCCTAGTAACTTGAGGTTACTACTCAACATTTTTCCTCATAATTCACATGATAGCAAATGCATATACTATCCCTTATTTATACTAAGGCTTAGTTAGGAATAAGGGCTACTAACCTAAAAGAACTAAAATTCCCAAACTACCCTTGTTAGTGTTAGTCTGTTACATTACCGGCCCCCTAAACTTCCACCTTGTCCTCAAGGTGGATAATAATCGGCACTCGATTCTCAGCGACAGCAATGATCTGTCAAGGTTGATGAAGGATGTGAAATTTGGCTTGAATATGTGAGGTTATAAGAGTTGGGTTTCATAACTGATGTTGGAGGAAAGACCTATAGTTAACAAGCCCAAAATATGAAGGGTAAGTGGGCCCAATAATTTGCATGGCTTTATCAAATTGAATTGGATTAGCCTGTAGCTCTTTTCTTCCCTTATATGCACGTGGCACCAGCAGTCAGAGTTTGTTTATGCTAGTAGCCTTCAGCCCATTGACCAATTTGCCCTTACTAACCCCATCTTGTATAATTGGCTTCTTCCACAAGGCAAAGAAAATTCCAGTCAACCTTCTGCCAAAAGCTACTCCTTCTGCATTCTTGAAGACCCCACCAAATAACCACTCTCCTTGAAACATGCCTTCTGCTCCACCTCCGGCCAAACACCAGCTGCCGGTAAAACCACCGGCGAAAGCACCACCCCTTCTTGCAGCCACCGGTGGTGATGAATCGACGGCCCTAGCAAAATTACTTTGACCAGTACCGCCTCTGTCTCCATTTCCACCGGCGAACTTACCTGGGCCACCGCCGGTAAAACCACCGGAGAAGTCACCGCCTCTTCTTATCGCCATCATTGGCGGCGACTCGGTTTCACCAGCTAGCCCGCCTCAACCATCTTTGCTTCCCTTAAACAAAAACTTGGTTGGTTTGCATGTGAACCCACCCCAAAAGCCACCTTCAAAATCGTTCACTCCACCACCACAATTACTAGCACATATCAATCCACCTGTCAACCCACCAGCACGTCCATGAAGTCCACCACTGGACTCGCTTGCACCTGATCCGCCCTTCACCCAGCCATAGCCTTCTCTGTTCAGGCCACCACAAGTGGTGGTCTTATCACCGCGCTCATCTTTTCCAGCCAAAACTCCTGGACCACCACCGGATCCACTACTATTGGCGCCACCCTTTTCGAAACATCCTCCTATTCTATCGCCTTCAAACACATCAACCTCAGCCCTTCGCACAGTCCAAAGAATCACCCCATATTCGACATCGACTCCACCGTGACACCCACCAGCAAATCCACTAGAGAAATCACCAACCTTCCTTGCGACCCTTAGTGGTGAAAATTCAATTTCAGACCTTCTTCGACCATCTCCCCTTCCCTCAAATGAAACTTTGGTGGGTTTGCTTGTGAAACCACCACCAAGGCCACCTTCGAAAACACTCACCTCACCACCAAAATCACTAGTACAGATTACCCCACCAGTTAACTCACCTCGCCCATCAGGTCCACCGTCCACCACCAGATTCGCCGGTGACTCCAGCTTGCCCTTCACGGACAGCAAAGCACCGTCAAACTGGAAGAAAACTTCAGTTGGTTTGTCTGTAAAACCTTCCTCACCCTTCATTCCAGATGGCCTTTCTTCTCCTCAGCCCTCTCCCTTCCTTTCCGCTGCCATCGCTTGGTTGACCGCCACTTCCACCACTGCCCTAATGGATTCTTTCTCTAATAATTCCGGAGATTTCTCACTCCTTTCCTTCTTATTTGGTAGCCACCTCCCTGAATTTCGAAGCAGCCAAGTCTTCAATTCTTGCCAGTCACGAAATGGTAGCCACCTGTGTTCACATTCGAACCACTGTAACGCTTCGCCGCAAAGCCCGATGATGGCAACCTTGAGCTTCTCCTTTTCATTCAACTGGAAAAATTGAAAGTAATCCTCCATTTGGAAGATCCAGTCATCTGAGTTTCTTCCATTAAATTCGTGAATTTGAAGCTCCTGCCGGATTCTCTTCTCCTCCACAGGATCTGAAATTCCTTGCTCCCTATTAAGGGAAATGTATTTAAATTCCTCATGAATCCATTTCTTCATGAGTCGTTCGCCATCTGTTCCAGCAAACTGCATTTTTTTTTTATTTTATTTTTTAAAGCGGTGGTACAGACTGGTAGTTCCAGTCAACGGCAGCCCACAAGACCGCCAGCTCTGATACCAATTGTTATGGACTTCCTTAGTATTTTCTGATTAAAGACTAATTAAGAGATAAAAGCTTGATACTTTTGATTAATAATGGCTGAAAATTGGATACAAAAGGATAGATTAATAGCTTAAGGCTATCACTCTCTTGATAACTTTAGGTTATCACTCTCCTAGTAACTTGAGGTTACTACTCTCAACATTTTTCCTCATAATTCACATGATAGCAAATGCATATACTATCCCTTATTTATACTAAGGCTTAGTTACGAATAAGGGCGACTAACCTAAAAGTACTAAAATTCCCAAACTACCCTTGTTAGTGTTAGTCTATTACACAACTCATGAGTTTAACTGCCCCAAGGGAATCGGCGATTCCTTTGATGATATCTGGTAACTAAATAGAGAGCAAATATTGTTTGAACGACAAGATTTTGATGCCCAAAAGAACCTCAATTTATGATGGTGAGCCACATATTTGAATTTAAATTTATAAATAAAAAGAAACAATTAACGAACTCATGTTGTATGAACTTGAGTTGCTATGGAGTAAAATGATACTGCTCACAGACTCAATATCAAACACTTCCATTTTACAAGCTCATATACACTGTCACATAACTCAAACTATGAATTTAATCTTGATGCTGACCTTTATAAGCTGATCCCATAGCTGATAGAAACTCGCATTATGAGGACCATGGGCATTATGGCAAAGCTCGTGAAGCATTGTATCCAACACTTCATGAAATGAGTAGAACTCTAACTCCCTGCCAGGCCTCCAAAGCCTCAACTTCACTTCTACCCCACGATTAACATTTAATCCAAGAAGTTCATTAATTTTGGGACTGCAAGGCCAGCAAGTGAATTTCTATTAACTCGATGAGATGCAATATAGAAATTAAACATCCAGGCAAACCCAAAAGATCTGAAAATAAACATTGTATGTGTGTGTGTGTGCTGCAATACTCAGATTTCTATTTAACACAAGGAACCCATGCTTTTCCCTAGTATAACATTATACAAAAAATAATAGGGTACTAAAACCTGAAATGTTTCATTCTGTATACATCATTCTTTTTCGAACCTAGGTACAATGGCACAAGGTTCAGCAGTGTGGACAAGGCTCAAGAGTGCTATAAAATGCACAGGTCTGCAAGCAACAATTCAATTCTATAGAGTCCATTGTTTATACATCAAAAACAGCAGCACAATAAAATAAAAAAATAACATATATTAAAATCATGCCACAATCACCTAACAAAGTCTCACAGCAACAACAATCTAACATCTACACTTTCCTACCAAACTCTATCAAAATAGAAAGTTCAAATAACAATCACCTACAAACACAACCATGCTTCAACAATCAATATTCTATAATATGAAAAAAAAAAATGAAATATTAACCTAACCAAGTCTCATAGCAACAACAATCTAACATCTACTCTTTCCTCAAAACTCTATCAAACTTGAAAGAAAATCGAAAGCTCAAATAACAATCACCTACAAACACAACCATGCTTCAACAATCAACAATATGAAAAAAAAAAAAAGAAATTTAACTCCAACCCTTCAACAACCAACAATCAACAATATTTTGCCACAATAGTACGTGTTCTACGTTTGTGGCTAGCCCGGGGGATTTAAGCTCTATCAACCCAAAAACGCTCATGGAAATAAGGGTTCATCCGAGTTTTTAAATCCACCCAAACCATGGAGTCGAGTTCGATTTCATCACGAACTCGCGGAGTCGCCTGTTGGCATACACCCTCAAGGGAGGTTGCTTTGCTAACGCGTCAAACTCTTAACCATGGTACCCTTTGACACCCAAAAGCTTGACCATAGTGGAACTTAGATCTTGACTTTAGGTTGCGAATTTCATTGCATCATGCGTGACAATGTGCTTATATGTGCATTTTTTTTATTGATTTTTTTTAATTGTTTTTTTATTAAACCCTTTTTTATTTTTATTTTTTAGAGTCGAGTCATAGTTTTTTTTTTTTTTTTGAGTCACCCGGATTTTTATTCCCGTATACTGCACAAGAGTCGACTTGTTTTGGTCATAGCCGGAGTTCTAGAAAGAGTTACGTGTTGTGTAAAATATGGATTTGTAGCCCCGAGTTTTATGTTTCACTTGGAGCTGCTTTCGTCTTAATCAGAACCACAGATCAAAAGTTATAACCGATATATTACAGCTTATCCAGTTTAGGTGTCTTTTTAACGTTACCTTTTTTATTTTATTTTTAAAAAAAAAAAAAATCGTGTCAAGATAGTCTTAGCCAAGTCCTTTAATCCATGTCAACTCTTATAACATAGGATTGTAGATTTTTTTTTATTTTTTTATTTTTTTTTACCTATGACTCTTAACTTTTCTAGAATTCTAGTCCTCTTCCTAGTTTCTTGTGATCAATTTTTGTGCTAACCTTAACATGTGTTCTTTGTCTTTGATTGTGGTTGATCTTATTTATGACTAACGATTGCCAATGGACCGTTTTCACTTAGTAAATAGCATAAACATTAAAAATGGACAAAATTAATCAAGTTAGTTTGTCTTTTAGTCTTCCGTGCTATTTGGTCATTGGGTCCGTTGTTTTTCACAACGTCCTCATGTCTAGCCATGCGATCATGCCACGAGTCTTAATAAACTCACCTAATCACACATGTTGAGTCGTTGCACACACTTTGTCTTCGAGTAATGCACTTTATTGATTATGATCGTATACTAGGGCCATGCATGTATCGTTTTCCATCGTAATAGGAATGAGTGGAGTATTTCCCATCAGTTTTCAAAAACGTTTCATACACTCTTCCTTTTCAATCCGAGTACTGAGTGAATGCATTAAGTGAGTTCTTCCTTACACAGTACTTGAGTCTAAAATCAGTAGGCAAGAGTCTAGCATAGGTTCTCCTTATCCATGTGGCTATGTGTCACATTTCTTACCTTCTTCATGAATGAGCATCTCTTTCTTACATTCGATCACGTGATAAGCAAAAATTCAAAAAAAAAGAATCATTTATTGCCGAACTAAACATAAGGTACACCAATGACCTGAGGCACCTTTACAACCCTGTCATTCCCCACTAACCACTCAATCACATATCCATTTCTTCATCAACCACTTTGAGCCTCGTCTAACGTTTGGCCTTCATTTCTTCAACCCACATTCACTTAACCCTGGGATTGGAAGGTGTGTAATTGTATAACATTCAAAAAGCAAGTAAAAAAAAACTGCAAAACAACAATAAAACAATGTCTAAGGGCAAGTGTTCCAATGTCTTTGATATGAACTCGTCTCAAATTGCGTCTCTCATCGAGTGCTTGGTACCGTGCCTGAGAAACATGAATGCTAAGTAAGTGATGGACCGCATGATCTGAGATTTCCCACATTGATTCAAAAAAAAAGAAAAAAAAAAGAAATTCAAAACAAAAAAAAATATATGAAAAATAAAATTTGCAAAGTCTAATACATAATTGCATATCTTGGGGGGCTTCTCTCGGGTCTTGAGCCTTTTACCCCTTTCTTCTTTAAACCTTAGCTTATCCACATTACAACCCTTGAAAGACCTCTTTGAGGTGTGCACACACTTGTGCAAAGTTCGGTTAGAGCTACGTTCGGCCTTATTCCTAATGGATACGTAGGCAACCTCACATCGAGGTGCGGCCACATTCATATTCATATCTATGCATGATCGAGTCAAAGAATATCCAATGCTTATCTCTATATCCCTACCCATTTAGAGCTAGACTTGGGGGCTTGAACCCACATCACATTAGCTTACCCAGCCTAAAGAGTCATCATCTTTGACTCTTTACACATATATTTCCATCACCATAGCCTTTGCAGCCTCACCTTAGTATCACTTTCACACACTTCTTTCACACACACATCCATATCCATATCATCCTCCCTTTAAGAACCCTTTATCATGGAATCTTGTTTCCCTACCGTGCATGCTTCATCATTTTCAAGACAACATTCATTAGAAGAAACGTTGTATACTTGCTTAGCTTCCTAACCTGAGCAATATTCATTGTTTCATGCATCGCATAATGCGCTGAGAAACATTTATATATCAATGATTTTTAATCATACAAAGCATATCGTGCTTAGCTCCTTGACCTAAGCAACGTTCATTATGCAATAATCACTTCATCTGTATACGTGCTTAGCTTCCAGACCTATGTGACGTTCAAGATCGTTTCTTTACACCATATATGATGCTTAGCTCCATGACCTAAGTTCATTCATCGTGTCACATGATGAAATTATCCTTAACCTCCTAGCCTAAGAACATACATCATGCATACATTATACTCAAGACGGGCAGTTCAATATGACAAGAAGAAAATCCATGTGATTCATTTCATCTTGCTCAACAAGGAAGTTCAAAACTTCTTCCCTTTTCTTATCATGACTTTTCTTTTGGGGAAGTTTAAAAAAAACTTTTTCAAAATTTTCTCATCGAGGGAAGTTCGAAAATAAAAGTTCAGTTTTCACATCTTTCTTTTTCGGGAGAAAGTCGGTACCCTCCACTCATGACAAAAATTGACGGAAATTTTTTGCTTTTTCGTCTTCGTTTGCTTGTATCTGCACACACACATATATACACACACACTCACAAGTCATATACATGTCGTGTCACATCAAGTCAAACTTGGTCAAGTTAGTGGTCAAGTCAATCACAATATATACGAGTCCATTGGCAAATTAATTTTTGCAGGTCTCATCTACAGCCCACGTTCGGGGACAAGCGAACAAACTACAGCTCACGTCCGGAGACAAGCGGACCATCTACAGCCCACGTCCGGGGACAAGCGGACCATCTACAGCCCACGTTCAAGGACAAGCGAACCAATTACATCCCACGTTCGGGGACAAGCGAACCTTTTATAGCCCACGTCCGGGGACAAGCGGACCATCTACAGCCCACGTCCGGGGACAAGCGGGCCATCTACAACCCACGTCCGGGGACAAGTGGACCATCTGCAGCCCACGTCCGGGGACAAGCGGACCATTTATAGCCCACGTCCGGGGACAAGCGGACCATTTACAACCAGCCCATGTCCGGGGACAAGCGGACCATCTACAGCCCACGTCCGGGGACAAGCGGATCATCTACAACCCACATCCGGGGAAAAGCTGACCATTTACAGCCCACGTCCGGGGACAAGCGGACCATCTACAGCCCACGTTCGGGGACAAGCGAACCATCTACAACCCACGTTCGGGGACATTCGAACCACCATCATTTCATGATGCAAGGTTCTCGATACATAGAGACTTGCAATATCATCATCTGTCGACTTTCCTCAAGCATAGAAAGTATTATCCGGTTGATTTCTTCAAGCATAGAAAACCGCCAAATTCCTTTGTCGGCTTTCCTAAAGCATGGAAAGCATTATCGGTGGATTTCTTCAAGCATAGAAAAATGCCAAAATCATATGTCAAACTTTCCTCAAGCATGGAAAGTGTCATCCGGTAGGTTTCTTCAGGCTTAGAAAGCTACCAAATTCATCTGTCGACTTTCCTCAAGCATGGAAAGCATTTCAACAAACGTCATCCGGTGGATTCCTTCAAGCATAGGAAAAATACCAAACTCATTTGTCACCGATACACTAGTGTCAGATAAGCATTCTTTCCCTTTACTCTTTTATTTGTAGAACTAACATTTTTCTGCAGGTATCGGCGTATTTAGAGTGAGTTAGGATCGCAGAACATCTTAAATCATTCTCCATCCCTATAGACTACTTTGACTATCGTTTTTGAAACTAACGTTTCTACAAACTCAGTCAAAGTGGGGGCTTCTGTAGACACCTAAAAATGTCTCCCAAAACCAAACCCGATGATGAACAACCTTTCACCGCGATTATTGGTCGGGTTGAGTATTTAATATTAGAGTGCTTAAATCCATATTCAAACCCAATACATTTCATAAACAAACCCATATCCTAGCCCATTTCCCCAAACCACAACTTATTTTTCTTTTTTCGTGCCTTTAAACCTAAAATAATTCATTTCGTGTCCTTTAAAATCATTCATTTTGTGTCCTTCTTATAAAATGTTTAATCCATTTTGGTCCATAATCTGGGTCCAATGATTTAATAGTTGTATAGGGATTTAAAAGATATTTCCAACGATATATTATAAGCCCAAATCCAACTTATAACGAATAAGTTATGGCCAAAATATTAAGCTGAGCCCAAACCGAACCTAAGCCCACCTTACCTACGACCCAATGATCATGTGGAGGGTCTAAATGATTTAATCCAATTCCTAAACCAATTAGGATTAATTAGAAACTTCTATAAGTTTCTAAAAGATCCTAATTATCCTTTTTGAAAAGATAAGATTAAAGAGTTTGAAATTGAATAAAACTCCTTTTTTGAAAGTCCTAATTCTATCCGAATTGAAAGACATTCAAAGATAGACAGATATTATTTTCGTGCCTCATATTTTTTATCCAAATTTTATATGGTTGGATAGCCCTTGAAATTATCTTTCCAATGATATATTATAATATCAATTCCGAGATATAATGGAAAAGATATGAATAAAATGTCAAACTCTATCCAAAATTGACATCGTTTCACTATTTCGGCTATATCTTTTGTATACAAAATATTTTAATATTATTTTAATTGGGTTAGAAAGTATATTTGAATAGATTTCCAACTATATATTATTCATCTTATTCCAATTTCTGGATCAAAAGATATGACAAAAACAAAAACCGCAAAAACTGCTGTCTATCGCAAGATTTTTAATCCGATTCGAACTCGATCTTTTCTTGATTCTTCAACCCACTTTTTTCCCCATAAAAAGAGGTCATATCACCCCTTTTTCAATCATCAACAAGCTTGATCACAAAATAATTCTCTTCTCCCTCTTTAGCCTAAATAATAGCCACCCTATTCTCTCAAAATACTTCCCTTAATTAAGCACTCCAAGGAGTCCATACTTAACCCGAAGTTCTATACTTAAACCAAGGCGTGAAAGGTATAATTTACTGAGGGTTTAGACCAAATCAACTCTACTTTTAATTTAATTTAATTTCCATTTACTTTAAATTTTTATTGAAGTTACTAACAATTTATTCATGATGTAGCAATTTAAAGGAACGCGCGGAATGTGAGTGATTAATTAATTTAATTATCCTTATTTTATTTTAATATTGCTAGTATCATGATTAGGGTTATTTTATAATTGGTTTGACTAACGTTATTATTGTTAAATTGCTTCCTAATGTTTATTCTATTATTTTTATGATCACTATATTGCATGTTTAAAGGGAATATGTAATTGAAAATCACGCCTAATAAGATAATTTGGACAACCGGTTTAGGTTCCTTTTTAATCTTGTTGTTAATTCAAGTGATCACAATATTTTAGAATTATGTGTTGCATTAATATTAAACCAATTTAGCTTAATAATAGATTGGAGCGAATTGAATATTTTTTTTGTATACCTTTGAGATCGCAGGAATCACTTTTCACTATAAGAATCGAGTAGAAGCCAATACGGGCGAATGTGACTCCATGACTCACTTCGTACCATCATTCCCAATCTTCCTTTCGTGGTTCCGAACCATATGGAGTTAGTAATCTCATGGATTATGAATGGGGTGTAACCTTTACGGGTCAATCGTTGTTGCCTATCGTTGTCCCTTTATCGTGGTTGTCTTTTATGATCCGTGAATGGTTTACAAGTTCCTTAAAAACTTGTTGGCAGCTCCCTACTTTCCTTGTCCCTAATCTTATATGTCAACTCCCACTTCCTAAGAGTGCCAAGCATATTCACATATGCTTTTAACGTAGGCGCACTTCGAGCGACGCCTACAATAGTGAACCCTAGCTTAAAAATTAGGAGATAGTTCTTTGACTCCTATTGATTGCCCTTATCATTAATACTCACAACCTTTGATTGACATGCTCTTCCCAAGTTGTTGCAATTGACATGATTACTTGTTGATCCCTGTTCCTAGTGTTTTATTTCTTTGGTTACTTGTTTTGTTAGTTGTTAGTATTCTCCCTTTACCCTTTGATTTCGACCTAGCTTAGGCGCATAATTGAAAGTGTTTGAACATTACCGTTCCTTTGGGTTCGACCCTTGACTTGCCTCTATACTCGTATTTAGGTTTTTTAAGTGTTTATAAATTTAGTTTAACCAAGGAAAGATTAGATAACGACCTAGTTTTCCCCTCGTCAAAATGGCGTCGTTAATGGGGAACGGTGTCTATGTTTGAGTGTTTTTGATTACTTGAGTCTAGATCTTTGTGTATACTTTTCTTTTATTTGATTTTTGTTTGTTTTGTATAAAATGGACAATACCTCATTTCCATAATTAGAGGATGAACCATTTTGGGTGTACTTTAATAGACTAGAGAACTTCATTAGTTACCATGGTTGTGATATTTAGGAGGCTTGCGAGATTTGTTATCAAAATTTGAATGAGCAAATTAGAGACATTGTTGAAAGCATGTTTAATGGTGGATTTTGGGCATTGTCAATCGATGATGCTTGGGACTTTTATGTATGGTTTGCTAGAGATAGTTGTGATTGTGGTCATAGTTATTCAAATGCTTCCATTGATGATTGTTATGGTCCATGTTCCATGAATGATGAACCTTGCATGCCTAATTGTGCCCCCATTCCCCAATTTAATGATTCCACTCATATCTCTAATGTTGATCCTTTCATGCTTGCACATAGTTCTTTCCCCCATGATGCTTCTCAATGCTCTTCATCTTTCCAATCTTTAGATTCTACCTTTGAGTCTTCTTATAATCAAATTGGTGGTTCTTTGAGAAAATTGGAGATGAATTCTAATTTGGAACCAAATGAGTTGAGATATTTGGAGATTGTGAGAAGCCAAATGGAAATGTTGAAAAAGTTGGAAGAGAGTAATGAGGGTGTTTTTAGGAAGAATGAGGAGATGGAGAGTCAATTGTCATCAATATTGAATGTAAATAAAGTTTCTACCAATTGGTAGGTATGAAAGATGATGATGATGATTGTTTTGAGAGCTCCAAAGTATGTGAGGAGGATGTTAGAGAGCCCATGAGTGAGGAAAAGAGTGTAGAGATGGATGTTCCTAAAGAGAGTTTGCATTTTGAACCTCCTTCCAAATTAGAATTTCGTTCCATTGAGCCTTTAGATGGAGTTAAAGAGAAACTAAAAATGTTGGCTTCTCTTAATTTTTAGGAAATGGTAATTCAAGTTATGAAGGATGGGACATTGAAATTTTTGAAGCGTGAAGAAGTTGTGAGGAAAGAGATTACGGACGAGGAGGATGAAGTAGTCTCCATGGGAGATTGGATGTTTGAGGGTGATGAGGACCAAGAGGTTTTGAGTGTTGAAAAACCAATTGGTGAGTTAATTCTCCCACCCACCTCCCTTGATTGTGATTTTATTCCTCCATTCCTTAATTTTAAAAACCAACCTTCTTCCACCCCATCTCCTTTGATTAATAACCATGGTTGCATTGAGGGTGAGACCTTGAGCTTAGACGATTTTGATGAAGAAAAGGTCCTTTATGATAAGGTTGAGGAGGTAGAGCCTACTTTTGATGATTATGAAGATGAGAGTGAAGTGTTTGGTGAGGTTGAGTCTCCAACTCCTATCTCAAATCTTAAACCATTGGTTTCTTCTTTCACCTTTGATGATCCTTTCTCTTCTACATTTTCCACCATTGAGAATGGTGAGGCCTTTTTAGAGGGAGATTGTACTTCTCATGTTTATTTTGAGCTACCTCCCAAGTTTGACCCTCAACCCTTTGATGAGCTTCCTTTGAACCTTGATGATGATTTGAAGCTTTTGAGAGCTCATTTAGGGTGTGATGTTTTTGAGAAGGGTGTGATTGAGAATAAGCTAAATTTGAATAATGACGAGTTGGAGAAGAGCCCTTTGGATGTGAGTTCATTGGATGAGAAAGTTTGTGTTTCAATAGATATAGGTGTAAGTGAACAACCAATTCCTATTTCTTTACCTTGCACCTTATTTTCAAGAAAGCTTGATCTTATTCCCTCCTATCCCATGTCATTACCTTCTTTTCTCATATCCCCTCCTCTTGAAAAGCCTTTAGTCCCCCAAGTGCCTCATTTGATGACTTTTGAGGACGATGGTGAGATTTCCAATCAAAAATATTTTGTTGAGAAGAGTATGCCTTCTTCTTTTTCTTTTATTTCTCTTCCTTTTTCTTATATTCTTGTTTTTCCCTTCTCTGTTTCTTCTTCTTGGCATACTTCTTCTCAACTCTATAGGTGTGCACTAATCTTGTTGCATACCTTTATTTTGTCATGTGCATACTTACTTTCCTATGAAATGTGTAGTAGTGCATTTGACAAGCTCTTGGGCGCATTGAATTATTATTTTCTAGAGCGGTCAAGCTTGGACCTTAAGCAAGCCTTTCTCGGGAAGTAACCCGTGTTTTATTGCTTTCATTTTCTTTTCTTTTTAGAATAGATTTTCTCTCATGGAAATGTTTGTGTTCCTTTTGCTAGGTACATGACTTGATATAATTTGGTACTTCTATTTGGATCAAGAATCAAGGAAGATTGCCACCACATTTGCTAGCATATAGAAGGCAATATTCAATATTAGAGGTTGTTAGCTTTGAAAGGTTAAAATTGGGTCATTTGCGGGTATTTACACCCACCTAATATCCGGTAATATCCTTCCTTCCTCTTTCTCTAGTGGATGATGACTTGTTAGACATATGTTTGTTTGATTGGATTAATCTCCTTGTTTTTCCCCTCCCGTGGAATATTTGATTTATGTTTGAGCATGTTGTCTCATTCAAGCTTGGGGGAGGGTATTCTATCATGTTTGGTGGAATGTTGATTCATATATGTCATGAACCTTTGTATATGCTTTTCCATGTTCTCATATTTTGAAAAACTCTAAAAAGATTTTTGTTTTTATCAAGGCAAATTTTCAATGTGTTTTGTTTTGTTCTTGCTTTGGACATAATAACAATTGGACTTATATACTTGAATGCTTTTCTTCCTAAATGGTAGTGGTGTGCACGGTTTGAGATTACGTTTGTTTGATTCTAGGATAAAGCATGCTAAGGTAGTTGTCTAGAAGTAGGGGGATCATGAAGCCGGATTCTACTTGTTTGTGGCATGATTGGTAGTTGCTCCCTATAGTCGATTTCACACCCATATTGAGTTTTTGGCTACATCCGTGTGAGGTTCATTATTTTTCAAGCCTTCAATATTTACTTGCATGAGCGGCATGGATCCTTAACTATTGCGGACCTAATCTAGAATCTTGACTTATGGTTCCCAAGACCGAGACCGAACCACCTAGGGAGGACAAAGGCATCTTTTCGGGGTGGTAATTTTTCTTTTCTAGGATAGTTTTCGTTTTCTTCGGTTTTTGGGTTTACATTTGCCTACTTGCTAACCCTTTTAGCCTTTTTCCCTTCTTTTCAAGCCACATCTCTAGATCTTGAGCCTTTTGTTTCATTTTCGTTTCCATTCTTGGTTTTTGTGAAGCAATTGTTCATTATTGTTGGAGTTTGTGGTGGAGGAGTTTGGATATTTGGTTCTCTTGAAAGCAAGTTTGTGTTGTGTATATTTTGAGAATAATGGCAAGTGAATAAATGAAAAAGTCGTCCAAAGTAAAAAAAGGCAAGGACAAAGCAAGTGCAAATTTGAAAAAGCCATCCAAAGTTAAAAGAGGCGAGGACAAAGCACTAATAAAGAAATATGAAAAAAAGTGAAAAATGCAAAAATATTTTTATGTGAGTGTAGACACCGATTTATGTCTCCCCAAAACCAAACCCGGTGATGAGTACCTTTCACGTCGAATCATAATCGAATGAAACGAAAGTGTGGAAAGGTCTAGTGTAGCGAAAAGTTTTATTTCTTTTCTCTTCTCCCTGTTTTGGAAAACTTTATTTTAAGAAAACAGTCAATCCAGTTTGGTTGGTCCATGATATGGGTCCAATAGTGGTGTAGTTGGATGGGGCTTGCAAATACCTTTCCAATGATATATTATAAGCCCAATTCCGATGAATATTAAGGAAGTTATGGCCAATTTATTAAACTGGGCCTGGTTTGAGATTTATGTACGGCCCAATGATCTAGGGGAGGGCCTAATATGATTTATCATTCCTAATGCAATTAGGAATGGTTTTAGTCTTCTAGAATCTTCTAGAAGGTTCTTTTCATTCCTAATTCAATTAGCATTGATAAGTTGACTTTGTTGACTTATTAGAGTTTTAATCAAGATCAAATAGCATTTTCGAAGGAATTATATTATTTTTTCTTCCAGCACGGGAAATTTATCAGATTTTCGAAAACGCATTGAAATCCAGTTTGGCGTCCAACCCCAGGCATTGGCGCCTGGAACCAGGCTTGGCGCCAGGCGCTGGCCATTGGCGCCTGGCGCTAGCCATTGGTGGCTGGCGCCAGCTAGCCAAGGTTGGCGCCAACCTTGTTTTGCGTGCGTCAGACTCTGTTTTGTTAAATTATCTTTTTTGGCTGATTTCCTCTATAAATATCGTATCAAAAACTCCGTTTTCATTCATCATTCATCATCTACATCTACCAATTTACCAATTCTATTCATTCGCAAGTTATCATCAACAATCAATAATTCTTTAGTATTCTTTAGCATTCAATTCTTTCTTGTTTTCACATACAGAATTCCGCATTCACAAGATCTAGAAACACCTAGCCATATTCGAAGTTGCCTTCGCCCTAGACGTGAAAGGTTTAATTTCTGAGGGTTTGGTCCCAAATCTCTATTTCAATTATTTAATTTAATTGTTTTGATTATTATTTTCCTTGAAGTTACTAACGTGTGTATTTTGTTATTAGAAAGAGGTACGAGGCATCCAAGTAAGTACTTTAATGGTTTTAATTGATTTATGATATAGAAATCATGTTTAGATTGTTATTATGATATTCATAGTACCATGTCTAGGGTAATTTTAATATTAAATATGATTGTTATGATGCTTCCTATGCTCTTCCTAATATTTATGATTGCTAGTATCATGTTAGGGTTAAAGATTTGATTTTTATTGCTTAGTGACATGCTAGGGTTTGTTATTAATCTTGTTAGTATCATGCCTAGGATCTTGCTATTTTTATTATGCTTTAATATTAACATGAACATGAACATGATTATGATTATAATTGTTATAATTTATTATTATTTTGATGATGATTATTATTCGTGATATTAATTATTTATTAAGTTGCTTGATGCTTATTATTTATTGCTTGATCACGCCTTTTATGCATGTTTAAAGAGAATTTGTACTTGTAATCACGCTTAATAAGATAATTAATAATCTTGTTAGGGTTAATTTGATTATAATTCAAGTGATCGCCAATAATAGTTTATTTGTGCATTAATATTCAACCAACATAGATTAA